GGTAAGCGAGGGTGTGCGGGGGATCCGGCCCAGGGCCAGGGAGGATGTGTGGGGGTGCATGAGTGGCCAGCACAGTGTGAGCACAGAGGGGTTGGGGGAGGGTGTGTGGGTGGAGGAGACTTACCCCAGTGACTTGCAATCTTCCCTGCTGGCTTCCCCTTTGATTTTTCTGGGGAAGCCAGCATGGACGGTTGCAAATGGTGATCATGTGAGCTTGGGGCACTCGGCAACTGGTCGTAAGCGCAAACAGGTTGTCAAGCACCCAGATCATGATCATGTGACCATGGGGGTGCTGGGAGAGCCAGAACTCTGAGAAGCGGTCGTAACCTCCATTCATTCAGCGGTATTGTAACTTCAAACAGTCGCTGAACAAATAGTCGTAAGTCAAGGACTACTGTAAATACCATTTTGATGTCTACTATCACCCAGTCAAGGTAATGGTATATAAGGTGCCTTCTGGAACTAAACTGTGGCTATTTCAAAGAAATTTGAAATGATGGAGAGCTTCAGTTATGCAACACCTGTTGAGAGATAAACTCTTCCAAGCATAGACCTTCTAGAAAATATATGACTTGTTTTGCTGTCACCTTTCTCTGTCACAGAATGGAAGAAAAGTATTGACTACCCTTGACTTGATATTAGCTTAAAACAAAGTTGTAGTTGATGATAATATGGATGTATAAGAAATATTGGGGAAAGTGACTACGTAATGTTGGAGTTCTTGATGTTAAAACTAAAAACAACTGAGTGTAGTTGAACACATATCTCAAACTCTAGGGAAATGAATTTTTCATTTGGAGCAGTGATAAGTAGGGTTTTGTGGCAAAAACAGCTATTGGAAAAAGGAGCTTATGGTGGGTGGGAGTTTATAAAAAAAGATAGTAAAAGCACAGTTACAAACAAATCAAATGAGGGAGGACAGCAAAAGAAGCAAATGTCTGTACACAAAAAGCTTACTAGGGATCTGAAAACAAAAAAGGATACTGATAATAAAGGCTAAGTTACAAAGGAAGAATATAGGCAATCTGCAACTGAAGAACTGCTGTCAAGAAAGCAAAAATTCTGAATGAGCTGAGGCTGGTGAATGAGTGTTAAGAGTAACAAAAAAGGCTTCTTTAGATATGTTCAAAATAAAAGAGAAAAGATATCAACTACTCCATAAAAATAGCAAAATGCTAACAGGTAACAACATCAACAGTAACAGCAAGGCGGGAGCAGGGGGGGAGGCACTGCTGCTGAACTCTTAATTTGGTTCAGTGTTCTCCAAGAAGAGGATCTGTATTTCACTTGAAAATGGTGAAGAACAGGATAAAGAGGAATGAAATTTAAGGGTAAGAGAAACATGAATTTAAATCTCCGGGGCTGGTTGAATTACATCATATTAAGGGCCATACTGTTGGTATGATTGACCCTTTGTGTGTTATCTTTGAAAAATCCTGGAGAATGGGTGAAATGGTAGATGATGGGAAGAAGACAAATATTGACTTTTATTTAAAAAGGGGAGAGGGTAGTAGGAGGCAGAGAACTATAGATCAGTACTTAATATAGGTACCTGTGACAATTCTAAAGCCGATAGGAAAGAAGGAAGAATCACAGTGATATCAGTTCCAGAATAGATTGTAGGAGTGCTGTAGACGTATTGCATCTTGATTTCAACAGAGCATCTGACAAAGTGTCCCATGACATTCTGATTAGCAAGATTTGATTGTGGGCTGGATGGTAGGGCTGCCTTGAAAAATATTCTCAGAGGGCTCATCAAACATGATATTGAGTGGGCTGCCACAGAAGTCAATATTTGTATTAATAACTTTATTTAATATTTCAATTTATATAGCCACCGACCTCAAATATATAATGCTGGGTGGCTTATAGCAATTAAAAACAAGATAAAAAACAAAACAATATAAAACCATATAAAAAATCATATAATGTAATCCACAGGTGAAATATAAAAACAGTCAACAACACTCAACCTTACCATTGAACTGGCCCCACTGCACACCCAGATCCCTAAAGGCCACATTTTTAAAGCCTTACAAAAGACCAGTAGGTTTGGGGCCAATCTGATCTCTGGGGTTGGGGGGTGATGTTCCAAAGTGTGGGCACCCTGACGGAAAAGGCTCTCTTCCCCGCCTGATGGCATTCCCTAATAGATGGGACCCAATGCATGCCTCTCTTGCAGGATTTAATGGGATGGGTAGATGTAACCAGGGGGAGGCAGTCCCTCTAATAACCTGGTTCCATGCCATGAACCAGGCCATGTCATCATCAGCACCTTGAATTGAACCTGGAAGCATACTAGTAGCCAGTGCAGCTCACGGAGCAGAGGTGTAATGAGTGCTGATCAAGGAGCACACCTAACTGCCCTTGCAGCCACATTCTGAGCCAGCTGTAGTTTCCAGATGCTCTTCACAAGAAGAGCTCCATGTAGAGTGCATTGCAGTAGTCCATTCAGTGGGTGACTGTGAACCTGGATGAGGAAGTGGTGAGATGCCCATGAAATTTGCAAATGACATACAGCTGGGCAAGTTAGAAGACAAAGATAAAATTCAGAATGGTCTAAACAGGCTAGAGACATAGGCTTAAGCCAACATAAGGAAATTTAACAGAGTTAAATACCAAATTATTCAGTTAGGAAACAGAAATCAAATGCAATAGGTGTAAAGATGAGGGACATCTGATTTGGCAGTAGGATTTGTGAACACTGATTGATTGAAAAGATGAGATAGCAGTGCAATGTGGCTGTACCAAAAGGCTGCATGAATAAAAGGATGGTTTCTAAATCACAAGAAGTAAAAATTCCTCATCTGACCCTATGATGGTCAGTCCCACCTCAGTAGCATGTTCTATTCTGAGCACTTTCTATTCTGGAAGAGAAAACATAAGTTGGTTATTAGAACAAACTGGAACAAATTTAGAGAAAGTGATTGAGGAAAAAAGTGAAACAGGTTCAAAGAAGTGCAAGGATGACAAGGGAACTAGAAACTAAGTATTTTGAAAAGAAATGCAAGACACTGGGAATGTTTAACCCTGAGAGACTGAGAAGAGTTGGCGCTGGTCAAAAATCTGAAAAGATTTCATAAAGAAGCAGGCAAAAACTTGTTTTTGAGGCATTCCTGTCAAATGAGCATTGTATCTCGTTTCTTTGTCCTGTCTAATGTGAGTATGGGATTCAGTAGCTTGTAAAGCAGTAAAATTGCTGCATGATTAATGCCCCAGTCCTAAATACTTCTGCTCTGAGAGAAGAGTTTACCCACTTAGGAGTAGCCACAGGCTCCTTTCTAGACATCACGTAAATATGATTTTTGTTTTCTCTAACTGAAAGGGTAGGGAAAAGGAATCGTTAGCTTTTGGTAAGTCAATATGTTGGTCTATTTAACAGGCTCAAACAAACAGAGGGATGACAAAAATAGACGAATCAAGAAGCCAGACTACAAGGTTGCCTATGTACAGCTGGTGAGTAAATGCATCTGTTTTGAAGCTGAGAAAGTGAGGGAGTTGCGTCGGATTTTTGTTGAGTCAATTATTTATGGGTTTCAAAATTCTCCCATGAGGATATTGTTTCCCCAGAGGGTATTTGAAAGCACCCGATTGAGCCCTGAGGGAAACAGGATGCAAATCTCAATCAGTCTGGTCTAAGGGATCTGCTGTTAAGTTCTTTGGAGGTGAAACTGCTACTTGAAAAATCATAGGCATTATCTTGGAGTAGCATGCTGTTGAAGGAGTGAGAAACAGTAAGGATGCTGTCATTGATAACTTGGCCTACTAATATTGAGAATGTTCAGTTTTATACTGGCTGGCATGCGTGGCATGTCCAAAGGGGCCATGAAGGTTTCTTCTGAAAAGCTTCATGAGCAATCTGCATTATAAAGCTAAACTGAGGTTTAGCACTTAGGATAAGACATTGTGAAATTCTCTAATTGAAAATATTTGGCTTTGCCGCAAGTTCCTAGAAGGAAGTTATAAAACTGAAACTGCTGTTATTTCTCCATTAGCCCTCAGCATCTGGATCAGAAGAGAGCAAATTCTATAAACTGAATGCTGTTGAGGCAAATACACAGAGGGTTGGGGTTTTTGTTTTTTTTTTAGTTAATTGTACAGTGTAATTCAAGAGAAGACAATACTTTTGGGGCTGATGAGCAGGTTTAGAGTTTTGTAAGCTTGCTGTGGGCATTCTGACAAGCTGGCTGCTGTGGGGGGAGACTTTCCTGTTCACAAAATGACTCAGCCATGGCCATTTTGCATTTTGTAGAAAAACCTATGCCCCAAGGGGTAAACTAGTGAGTTGGTTTCCAGTTGCCCCTTCCTGCTTGTAGAATTAACTGTTCACTTTTCCGTTTTTCTGGATAGATGGGCAAACTTGAAAACAAAGCTACAGCTACTTTTTATTTTCTAGGAATACCTGGGAGACCTTTTTCATGGCTCAGGGACATTCTTGCCACTAAAGATGAAGTTAGAAAGTCAGGTAGAAGAGATATATTGGTGCTCTGTTGTACTGTAGTTCCTTGGTGGATCTTGTGAAGTTTTTTATTTGTTTATTTATTTATCATATTTATATAGCCACCCATCTCACAGAAGGTGACTCTGGGTGGCATACAACAATTAAAGTTGCATATCAGATTGATTTCTCCCCCCAATACACACTGTTAGTTCAGTTGTCCCAGTAGCAGCTGCTTCTCCAGTAAAGGAATAGAGATTAATACTACATCCAGATATTGATTCCTCCACACTGTTCTCTTAGTGTTGCATATCATGGACTCAAGTTATTAATCTGCTGTGCTGGCCCTGAGTAGGTTCTGCTATTTTCTAAAGCACTTGGTTTGGCCAGTGGCTGAGCCATACTTTTTTGAGTAGGAGAACAATCAAACATTTATTTAACAATTAATAATAATTGTTAAATAAATTTTATTATTTATATAAACAATTATTTAATCATACTGATAAAATTTGTAGGTGCTTTCTGTCTCTCTCTTAATTTTTTGGATAAGTCTTATTGTAAGGCAAATCTGTTGTTCACAGCTAACTCCCTCCTACTTCAGAGGGCAGGATTTCATCTCTGAAGGTGCATCAGACAGAAGCAAGTGAAAAGTCTTGGGGCTTTCCTCTGAAGTTCAGTCTGGCTGAGCACCTCTTTTCTTCTGGACTTGAGAGAGGGGCAGGGACGCAGGTCTTTAAAACGTGTTTACTTAATACCTAAACTGAATTATCCTTATGTTTTCTGGTCTTGGCTTGTCACTCTGAGAGTTTGATGTTACAGGACTCTGCCGTTTTTTTGTTTTTGTTTTTGGGTTTTTTTGGCATCTTTATGATTCCTAATAATTTACCATACAGGTTAGTGAGAATAGCTGATCTGGGAAATGACTTTTACCAATCTTTAACTGCCTGTAGACTGCTGGAATACTTCTTCAGTCTTAACAAATGTGTCCTTCCCTATGTAATACTTTTTAGTTGATCTTATTCTAAATACTCACTTGTTGTCTGCTCCAGACTGGAAGGTATTTAACCAATAATATCTTCTAAGAGTTGTTTATAGTTATTTTTAATTAAATGCTAAATCTGTGGGGTTCCTATTTTATTTTTGTAGCTGACCTGTCTTTAACTCAGTATTCTATTAAATGTGGGAAGAAAAACATTATTCAAATCTCTTTAATGTACCCTATTACTTTATGCTGAAAAAGTTATCCTAAGTCAGAAGTCTTACCTAGGCTTTAGGAATATACGTAAAGTAAGAGGCTTTAATTTTAGATTCCTGCATACCTGCTGATCATTTTTGCAGAAGGTGAATCCAGGTGAAGCAGACAAGGGTGGGAATCTTTAATCATTTTCTTCCTTGTTTTTGTCTTAATTCAACCTCAGGTTCACCCTTATATTGGCACAAACAAACCCATGGCTTAAGCAAGTTCATGTTTATGGCAAGTTCCAGGTAATTTTGTAAGAAAGTCATCTGTTTGGGAAAGTTTTTTATGTTGGCTTTCTTGAACAGTCAGTAGGTGGCAGCATTATTCTTCCTTGCATTACTTTCTTGACTAGCTGGCATTCTTAGGTATCTGAGAAATACTGTTTTGTCTTGAAGGCAGCAGTTATGTTTCCCTACTCTGGAAGTCATCAGCTTCTGATTTCCAGGCCAACTTATGCAATATAATATGCACACATTAATCATTGCATTCAAGCGTTGGAAGATGAAAACGCTGATGCTTGGACAACATATAATACATAGCAGTATGGGTGAAAGCAGAGAACTAATTCATATGTGTAGGAATCCAGGTTATCTTGAAGACAGAGGACTTTTTCTCTCATACCCCAAACTTGGCAAATGAGGGTAGGGTTTTTTTCTCCCTAGTTCAGATGGTATTTGTCTCCCATTGCAAATGACCTCAAATTATTGCTTGTGGTCAGTATCACCTTCTGTAGTTTCAGTTTGTTCTTCATGTGCTTTCCCCCTCCTCCTTAGGAGAAAACATTTTGTAACCTTGGTTATAAGACCTTTTTTATGTTTCAAAAGTTAGAACCAACTTCTTCATTAATATGAAAATTGCTTCTGTGCCTCGAGAACTATGTTCCGTTTCTGCTTGTTTGTACAGTCAACACTTGCATCTGTTAGAAAACTTAAAAATCCTTTTTTTCTGATTTGGGGGCAGACATTTATACTGACAAGATTATGAAGTTCCATAAATGTGTTTCCTCGATGGCTATATGGAAGCTGCAGTAATGAGCACGACAGATTTCACAGTATCCCTAAGAACAAGCTAGAGCAGCATTTAATTGACTGGAAGTCTACATATTCCCTACTTCCATAAAGTGTTATGCTATAATGTAAGCTAAAACAGCTTATCTGCAAGTGGCCACTAACCATTAATTTTCTTCGCTAACCAAATGATTGTATGTATTGCAAATACTCAGATGTGACTTCAAATGAGTTAAACAGCTTTTATGGTACAGTTATTCCTTGATATATAATTGAAGTTACAGAATGGTCAAAATATACTAGCTACTGAACATGCACAATAACTATTTTTCATAAAGCTTTCAGCATGCAAGAGTCAAACCAGTGCAAAATTACTGCACGGCATTGTGGAGGATTTATAAAGCTTTCAGTTTTGAGAGTTCAGTGTAATATCTTGGCGGTTTCAAATCCTTTCTGGCTTCCAGCCAAGATCAGCATTTCTCGGCAAAACAAGGGATGGAGAGAGCCAAATTGTCTGCACTGACTTTTGTTTATTAAAAGGTTCCAGATACAGATTGACTTCTACTCAATATTTGGTTTTGACCAGCCTTGAAATGGCAACTGTGAGGACTTCCTTAGAGAGCTAAAAGGGTATCCTCCAGGTCCTCTGTGGTGTCTGAATATTCCTCCATTGCCTTAAAATAAGAGGATGGGATAATATGTGGTACTTCATGGAAACTCCACTTTGAGTCATTTGCTTTAGTAGTGTAGTGACAAATGTAGCAAGTTAGAAGCGCAAGGACTAGAACCATGGCTCATCTTTACAGGCCATATCCTTCCTTTTGGGACAGAAGGGCTGTGTCTGTCATAGACAAGGCCTCTCAGTTCTCAGCTTGGCAGCAAGCCAAACCCTGGTATGCGCAGCAACATCAGTCAATGATGATGTTGTACATGCAAGTATAAAATGCAGGTGGCAACCATACAAACATTTCCTGATGGGTTTCCAGTGCTGTCTTTGGAGTTCTATTTGTTGTTTTAGTATTTTTTTTTAATGTCTCTACTCTGACCAGTCCTTTTAAAAGTAATGTGAACAACACCATTTTCAAATAATAAAACAAAACCCATTTTTCTCAACCAATAAGAACCAGTTCAATTTTTCCTTAAAACAAACAAAAACTAATATGTTGCTTCTGGAAAATACCCAGGCTTTGATTTCAGTGGACCCCCAGAAGAGAACGTTCATGAACTGCACAACTTCTCAGAACACTGCCTGGTCTTTCCTCATTGAAGTATTAAAGGCATAGTGTTGAAATGGCTTTTTACAAACCATAGTGATGACATTGACTAGTTTTTGTAGTTTTGGGAGGAGTATACTGCCTGGATCAAAGTAAAACTTTGAATGATGCCCCAGTATTGTGCATTGAGATTCCGTTCACTTTAATCACAATATTAGAAGGGGTATTTAGTCTCCTGCTGATGTTGAAAATCTACTTCTGTAAGATTTCCATCTCTGGAGAATCATAGCACTAGAAAGGGGTGGAACCAATTGATCATGTTTAAGGAGCCCAAGAAGGAATGGGAGGCTTGTTATAGAAACCCAGTAAGGAAAATTAAAACTTACAGTTGTACTTATGTGAGTCCAGTTGCTTTGCTCATAAGTTCAGATTAATCACTGAGGACTAGATTGGTTGGCAAAACCTAGTTCATTTGTGATTAAAGTTTTGATTTTAGAAGGATAGCAAAAATGCCCTTATAGTCTATACGCTGATTTTTAGTTCTTTAGTGGTGGCCAAAAGCTGTTAAGGTATTTTGGAAAATACCTTCCAAAATAGCTCCAGACGTTATTTTTATAACACATCTTTCTGTGCCATGCTATTGTCTGATCGTTTTATTAGTCTTAGTTCTCTACTTGAAGAGAATGGAAAGCTGACAGGGTTGATTTTAACGAGATTGTCAACACTGCATACAATATGGAAAAATAGATAATGTCAACAGAATAAAATGCTGTTCTTGAATAATAGGTTCCTGCTGCTAAATAAAAGCTAAAAGGTCAGTTGATTATTGTTTTCCAAATGGGAGACGTTGAGTCTGTGGCAACGCTCTGTGTTGGCATTGATGCTCTTCATTATGGAGAATGACTGCTGAAAATTTTAATGCTGCATTTCAGGAATTACATAACTTCACAAATCCCTTTTTAATTCATATCATATATACAATTCTATTTAGTATATTTTCTTTAATCTACTACATAGCAAACACAGAGATACTAAATAGCCACGACCCATGCTTTAATGCATGCACATGGCATTTTCTGTTTTATTGACAGAAACTAGAGAAATAATGTTGAACCAATCACAGTTATGCTTAACAGATGCATTTTAACAGCAATTGTGTCACTAACCTTTTTATAATTACTGTCATGGAAGAAAAATCTTAGTAGATCAAGGAAATCTTCATGTAAATGTATGCCATTCCAGTGCATTTCTTATCAATCTCTCTTTCATCTGCATTGCTTTCTATGCAATCCACTATGCCCTGTCTGTTCTTTGTGAAGCCATTAGGTAACCATGTTTGTGCCTTTCCTTTGTAACTCCTGCTCTCCAATAATATTGAGTATGTGGAGTATGATAGTGTCTATCGTCTCTTTATAACTATATGGAAGAAAATCGTGCATTCTGATTCTGTTGAAGACCTTCTCATGGACTTGTGCAGTCACACCTGCTACAATTGAGAACTGTATTTTCTATTATATATTTTTTTCTCTTGCTAAAAATGAATAGTCTGTTTTTTTTTTAATTGAGAGCAAGTTTGGTCTAATGATTAAGGTGCTGTACTAGCAGCGGGGAAACCTGAGTTCTGTTCCTTCCTTAGGCATAGGCACAAAACCAGTTGAATGACTTTGGGCCAGTCACTCATTCCCAGCCCTAGGAAGAAGGCAATGGCAAACCACTTCCAGAAATGTTGCCTAGAACACTGCATGGACTTGTCTATGTAGTCATCAGGAATTAAGATCAAGATATGTGAATTGAAGGCTAAAAAAACATACACACACCCCCAAAAATTGTTTGATATGATCAGGTTTATTTATTAGCTTGGGGCTATTTCAAGTGGTACAACAAATTCTTGCACTATATTTCATAAGTGACTGTGTTTTCAATGTAACTATGGTGTGTCTATTGAATCGGCAATGGAGATTTGCCTGCCTGGTTTTTGGGTAGCACAGAACTGGAAGGGGTAATGCAACATACTATTTAGGATTTCAGACTATAACAGAGGTGACTTAGGTTAAAAGCTCTACTTATCCAGATGATTACTGAATGATATTGGGTCGGTTACTCTGAGTCCCTTGACAGGAAGACTGATAGAGTAAAAGATAATATTCCGCATCTTTTCTTCAATAGCTTTCTGGACTAGCTGAAACTTCCCATAGTTATCTGAAGAAACAGATCCTACTGGAACATATGATTAAACATGTGTTGTTTAACACATTTGTTTTCTGTCTTTAGGCTGCAGGACAGACTTTCCAGTTTCCAGACTTGTTTCCAGACGGGGACAAAGCTCCTGAGGTTGATGAAGAGGTCGAGAAAAAAGTGAATGAAGAGAAGCAGCAGAACGATCCTAGACGTGGAGATGTTCCTAATTGGTTTTGGCGCTGATAGAAGATCTGCTGTTTTCGGGTTGGGTACCTTGGAGGGATATGAACCCTTTCACCCAGTCTTAGTCCTCTTTTTTTAATATCATTATCTTTGGAAGACCTTTGAAAATATATTTAATCCCTATTTCATGCAACAGATGTTTTGGTAAAAAATGAAAAGCCTCTTGACATAGAAGGTGGCAAGTGTGGGACAAGTTTGTCAGCTTCAGCTGTAGTTCATATTTGTGCTTGGAGAGAAGAAAGACTTACTGGTGTATCTGTCCTTCATTAAACCATTAGAGAATATTTACATGGCTGCATGACACCTAGTGATGAAGGTATTAAAAGTTGGAATTATCTGGTTACCACTGAAATGAGAGAAGCTAAATCTTTGAGTGGGTTGGGCCACTTTTGGGGTAATGCCCTTGGAGTGTTATATGGAATTTGATTCTTCTCATATTAATAGAGTATTGGTTTGGGGGTGGAAATGGCATAATGTGTTCTTGGAGCCAAAAGTTCTCAAAACATGCATATTCCAACTGAACCTCATCCAGTAAAAGCCATTGTCAGCCTATGTTCTTTATTTGTTGGCTCCGTTTCTAGAGATTCTTAAATAGGGGTGTGTAGAAATGGAAAATGATTGTTTTTAAAATTCAGGACAAATAGCCCACTCAAAATGTTCTGAGTTGGCTGTAGTTAGATAGAACAAAATTTTAAATGTTCTGAGCATTCTGGCCATAGGAAACAATGGAATCTTGGAACCAATGCTTTGTTCCCTGATTTTCACTTCAGGGATCACACAAGGTAGATAGGGTGGCAGTCTATGCTGACTGCAGATGTAGGTTTCAGGAAAACTTTGAATCAGATTTTTTTCTGGAAAACTTCCCAGGAATTTTTTCTATGCAAATGAACATAATTCCAATGAGTATATTTAGCTCAATATCCATAGTCTGCACAAGTATTTGAGTTACATGTTTTTTATGTAAGGGAGGGAGATCTATGAAATTCCTGCTTTTCAGTTTTTTAGAACAATCACCTGAAAAGCATACATCATACAACTTTGAAACCGCCAAACGTGCCTGGAGTGGAAAATTTTCCAGCCCACATCTCTACTTACTACTGACTAGTACTTACCATCCAGTCTACAGAAATGTAGACCAAGGACATGATTTTAAAAATGCATATATGTTGAAAAGAAATTTTAAAACTCCTGTAGCAATCAAAGGAAGCAACAGTTTTACCAGATTTTTTAACATTCTCTGGCTAATAAGCACAAGTACATTTTAACCCATAAAAGAATAAGTATCTTGCTTTTTTCTGGACTTCTGTTCCTGTTTGTACTAGGTATGTTGCAAAACAAAATGTGGCATGTCTTACATTAAGAATAGTGACTCCCCCCCCACCCCCGCCTCTAGTACTGTATTTGCCAGGTGGCAATGGTCAATAAACCAACAAAACCAACACAATCTTTTACATTCATTCTACATAGAATTTGAAAACTGCAACAGTATTAGCAATGATTATGTATAACACATAATGTGTATACACATATTTGCATCTGCCTACCAGTT